TGCTGATAATATACTATCTAGTAGATGTTTATGAACTTGCATTGGATAAGCGAAACATATCTGTTGAAACTCATTGTAAGAAAATTGTTTTGCAGCATACAGAAGAAAACAAGGAACAAGTAGTCAAACTTGCAAAGTCACCTCCCAAAGCTGAAAAGAGTCTGGAAAAAAGAATGGACCATGCGGACACTGCAGCATCTTCGGCAGAAGTTAAAGCCAAAGACTATGACAATGTGGATACGAAGGACTTGACCGAATACCTAAATCAGCTTGGAAGTACAGAAAAATTACTAGAAAAGCAAAAGTCAAAAACGGCAATGAAACGCTCTATAACTACAGAAGTTCCCACTGAGCCATCGAAATCCAAGAAAGGACTACATGAAAAGCCTCCCGAAAAAGAAATTAGCGATAAAAGACCACCATTGAAAAATCTGGCTAAAACACAAGAAGAATCAATCTCATCACAGGAGACTCCATTGTCAAAAGAAAAAGAGCGGGAAGGAGAATCAAATAAGCATTCGAAGGAAGAAGGAGCAGAAGTGAAACGCAGAAAACCTACAAAAGAAAAGCCGATGCTGGCTGGACCAAAATCAGATCATTCCACAAAAGAGTTGAAGTCTGATAAAACAGAGCGTAGTACAAAAATAAGAAGTAAAGAAAGCGTAAAGGATTCAGACCACGTGGTTCGAGAGCCCAACGTAGAACGGAAGTCATGCAAGACGCCAGATGAAAGCACAAAGGTACAAAAGGAGGATGAGTTGGGCACAAAGAAGAAGGAAGAAATTTCGGCTACAAAACCCACAACGCAACAAGAAAGTCCAAAAATGCGAGAGCAGGAAAAAGCTGCCGTAAAGCGAAAAGAATTAGTCAAGCCGATGAAGGAGGAGGTTTTAACTGCAGTCTCCAAAACACCACAAGAGAGTTCAAAAACACGAGAGCAGGAAAAAAAGCCAAAGGACAAAATTGTTAAGCCGAAGGAGGAGGAGCTTGTGACTGCAGTCTCCAAAACACCACAAGAAAAACAAAAAACGAAAGAGCGGGAAAAACCTATCGTAAAGCCAAAGGACGAGATTGTCCAGCCGAAGAAGGAG